CAGTTCCATATTCAGTAGACTCGTCAACATCAATAGGAAGGAAATGAAATTGTTTACCATCATAATCACTATCGCTAGTCAATAATATCTCATGTAATATTTTATCAAACATCTTTACGCAAATCTTTTCTCACCCGGTGACTAAATCACTGGATGAGATTTTTTTATTCATTTTTTTTATAAAAATTCAAATGATAAGCTCCTTTAAGATTTTTTCATAACCCTCACCATCATTTACAATTTTTTCATAATTAGGATAAATTTCATCGACATAATTTTCATAAAAATCATAAATCATCTTAAGATACTCATCATTATCACTTGAATCAATCCCATCAATTTCATCCTCACCCTTACGAATTTCATAACGTCTTAACATGTTATCCACGGAGGGTTTCAGATAAAACACCTTTTTCACCTCAAATGGAAATTCTATCTTTCCTAAACGTTGGTCGAGAATATTCAATAATTCACCATCTCCATCGGGGATAGTGGCCTTTGTAAATATAAATGTATCAAGATAACTTCTATCAAGAATAATGTAATCATAATCCTGTCCTAATTGCTTAATTTCATTCATTTCAAAAAAGTATGCATTAATCATCGCATATTGAAAGAAAAATGGATAGATATCCTGATTATGTTAAAATAAACGTAATTCTCCTTCAAGATTTCGTGCAACTTCTCCGCGTAACATAACATGCTTTCCCTTTTCGGTAAGATAATTCGAAAGCTCCCGTGCGAAGGTTGTCTTTCCCACCGCAATAGCTCCGGTTATAATGATGATCTTTGGATTCTTTTTGCAAATATTAGCAACGGAACTGCCAATGAAATCAAAACTTCTAACCTTGATTGATAAAAAAATGAAGATGATAAACACGATCTTAAAAATAAATTGATAGGTCATTTCAACAAATTCAATATAATAATTCATCATCGATCGATATAGGTGCATAATTAAATTACGCAAATTACACTCCGCCCTGGTGCATAAGCACTGGACGAGGTTTTCTTTATTTATATTTTAAAACATATCAATCTTTAATATCAGGATTTATTCTTTTTGAACTAACAAAATCCTCATCCTTGATCTTTCTTTTTTCTCCTTTCTTTTGATTCACTCTAAAACTACCAATACTTCGTAAAATACTATCATATACCATTCTTAATGGAAATATTAATGGATATTCTAAATTATTAATCTCCCTGTGATTAAAACTCATCCACCCATCCAAAGTCTCATGAACATATGCCAAAAAAATATTACAAACGTTTAATACATCATCCGTTAGGAAATACTTGACTTCCATAATTTTTCGGAGATTTTTATATGGCATAATAATTCCAGTTCTATCTTCCACCTCGCGGATAACACATTCCTCAAATTTCTCATATGCCCCATCAGATTTCATTCTTAAATAACCACCTGGGACCCAATATTCGTCATCGCGAAGATTCATCCATACATTTTTGTCATCATCAATCAAAATACAAAATGCGGTAAACCTAGTATTTTTTTCAATTGCTGAATTCTTTAACTCTAATTCTCTCAACTCGATATCAACACGGTCAAATTGATCCTGAACTTCACCTCTATCTTTATACAATGATTCATCGACAAGTTTATACGCATTCAGCAATAATCCAATCTTCTC